GCTAGCATCAGTAAATCAACAGATGCAATGCGTGATTTTACAGAGCTCCAATCTATTAAAAGACTTAACTGATTATCTTCTGTATCTACAGGTGGTGGATGCATTATGCAATGTTGTATCGGCATCACCTGCAAAAGCTGCGACAGCTATAATTCTACAGGTCCAGAACACAAAATGTTAACTTCAATTTCCATTGGAAACTGACTTTGTTTTAACCCATATTTCTGATTACAGGATGCTGAAGTCGAAAAATCATTTCTTCCTTCAGTTTAAGAAAATATGGATTAATGATTTCTTTAGGTCAAATGGCATTATGAGTTATTTTAAATGTCTGAAAGTCAGTCTTCCGATGATGTTTTATTTTGATTTTGGTTTCTGTCATTTGTTTTCTCACATACTTTGTTTTGTGTATTTGTCAGGCTGAGAGGGAAATGAAGCCTTGGGTTACTAAAGATGATGGACTTGGTCAAAAGATGTGGAGGATTAATGAACGAATTGTGAAACTTATTGTGGAGCTAATGAGAAATCATGAAGCCCTTGAATCACTCGTAATTCTTGCTAGTGCATCAGACCTCCTCCTACGAGCCACAGATGGGTTGCTCGTTGAAGGAGGGGCATGCACTTCACCGCAGCTGGAGGTAACTTTTTTCAGATTAGTATTCTCCTTTTTTTTTTCTTTTTTAAATTTGTATCTACCATGAATCTGTGATGCTACCAGCTTAACCATTTTAAGTGGTCTCATGTCTTCTCTTATGTTTCTTGGTAAAATTTACTTCTGTTTTGGCATTCGATGAATGAATTTCTATGTTCTATTGCTTTTGTGAACTAATAACATGATTACACCCCAAAATGTTCGACAGTTATTGGAAGTAACAGCTAGAGCAGTTCAACCAGTGCTTGAGTGGGGAGAATCGGGACTAGCGGTTGCAGATGGCCTTTCAAACCTGTTAAAGGTATAAATTTTCTGTATTTAACATGTTCAATGATGATGTCCCGAAATTTTAGGGACAGAGTGTTTCGGACTTTTGATCGAGGAGCTTTCACGGTGAAGGCTTCTCTTGCTAGGATCCTTGGTACCTTTATGTGTAATATGATTTCTTCGCATGAAGCCTTTAGAAGTAGTAAACTCAAGTGCATAACATATATGTGTGGGGGTGTGGTTAAATGGAATCTCATTTTCCTGCTGAGAAGGCGATTCATTACTAAGAATATAATGAATGCTGTGATTTAACATATTGCAGTTCTTGATTATACAATTTAAGAAAGTCAACTAATATGGTTTATCTGGGAATAATATTATACAGTGTCGCCTCCCAGCTACAGTTCGTTGCATTTCTCATCCAAGTGCCCATCTTCGTGCTCTCAGCACATCAGTTCTTCGTGCTATTTTACATGCTAGTTCAATTAAACCAAGTAGCGAACAAGTGGACAGAAACAGAAGTGGCACTCGCAGTCCATGTCAGTATATAAATGTAGGCATTACCAATTGGCAAGAAGATATTGAAAAGTGCTTAATATGGGAAGCCCGTAGCCGTCTAGCAACTGGCTTGCCTGTCCAGTTTATTGGTTCTGCCGCAAAGGAACTGGGCTTCGCTATACCCGTTTGAATCTACCCTAACATATGGCGACTCTAGATGTATGTTCTGAATCATATTACCGGTTTGTTAGCAATTTTTACCTACCTGCAGGAGATTATGATTCGTGTATAGTGAATTTTTAGACTAGGCCGCCATTTTGCTTTTTACCCTTTGATTTATTTGAAGTCTTGAATTGATTAGATTTATAATGGTATCAATATTTGTCAGATGTTGAAGAGGGTGGCTCTCATTTGGATATTTGCCACTTTAATTCTCATGTAACTATACATTTCTTTCATTTTCTCTAGTTTCGTTGCTTTTCTTGTGTGCCTGTAATGGTGACAAACCATTATAATAAGAACTGCAGCGGTGGTCCATTACGGTATTGTGTAGTATACAATAAGTGGGTTCTCAAAGACCGTCTCGTCTCGATATCGTTCGACGCTCCACATGTTTTGTGTGAACAAGAAGTTGTAATTTTTCCAATTGAAGACAACTTGTGCAATAAATTTAATTACTCCATGTTGTACATGGAGTTAAACATTGCTTGCAATTTTTTGCAAATTCGAAAATGTGTGGGTGGTAAAATGTTTTTCATTTTAAAACTGGCCATTTGTTGTGCGATAGTGACAAGTGGTACGATGTCAAACTTAATGTGAAAGCAAGTTTAGATGTAGCAAGATTGAGTTGAAATTTTGATGAAAGTTCAGTGGAAATACCCAGATGCGTTTTATGGATGGAAATGTCACTACTGTCAAGATCTACACATTAACCTCCCTGGGAGTAATGAAGAACTTAAAGTGAAGATGCAAAAGGAGTTTCAGATAGAAGAACTTCGATCTAGTTTAAAAATCATTAAAAAATATATTTGCTCGACTAGTTACGAGGGATGGGAGATGCTCCAATTGTTAAGAAGGGGAGGACCGTAGGTAAAGAACTAGCACTAGTCAAACTTATCTATCAATATTGCCGTTGAAGTTAGTGTAGCATGTGCTTGTTTGGTAAAAATTTTAAGTTGTTGGAATTATGAATTAATTGAAATGAATGGTTGATAAATGGATTCTAAAAAATTTGTGGCTAAAATTAAAGTTTAACTTTGACGTTTAAATTAGAGTGAGATCTCATTATAATTTAAACCAAACAAGCACATTTCTGTCTAAATTGGAGGGAAGACATCAACTGTCATAGAAGGATAGATATTTATTTTATTGCCGGTAACTGTCTTTAGAGACACTTAGCTAATTTTTTTCATTCCTATCGAGCATTCAATTCACTGTCCTGATAAAACATCTATGAAATGTACTATGTCGGTCAATCATTCCATCTAAACAGCAAAAACTACTACTCACCCAATCGATTACCTGAATATATCATACATAATCAAAAAATTTTTTAATCGAATACACAATATTAACATGTTATTAAACAAATTAACGAGTTATTAATCGATAATCATAATTAATAATCGGTCGAGTCATTGCATTCTTTACGTTATTATTTTGACCTAAGGTTCAATTATTGCCCATTACATCTTTGGCAGCAAGATTCTAAAGTTGATTTCACTTTATTGTTGTATATTAGGATATGATAAAATGTACCATCAACTTTTCTGATCTGAAACTGTGAAATTCGAATTTGAAATGCAGAAGGTTTTCGATCATTTTTGCAAAAGGGCACAATGGACATTCTCTATCCAAGTTTGGCCATTATTTTTTATCAGTTCTAAAAGAATAATGTTATTCACAGTGAAAACTACCGACAATCGCCCTATGTGACGTACACTTGACAGTTTTTCATTTGATGTATAATTCAAAAAATAACTACCATATCTATGTATTAAACACCAAATTGTACCACATATGACGACAACTGGCAGTCTTCACTACGAATAACATTACTTATTATAAAATGACCCACATTGAAAGGGCCACGTTTGAAAATACTCCAAAATTTAAATCCAAGTTTCGATTTTATAACATTGTAGTGGATGAAGATGGTGAGGATCGAATGGAGCACGTTATTTAAAATGAAGAATGCCTAATGTCATGGACATAGTTTTGTTACACCCGAAAAACTAGAATCCTGCCTTAACGTTTTACAATTTCCGTTCTCCATAAGAAAATGTTAAGTCAATTTTACAACACTCACAAATAATTAAACTAATGAGGCTAAATTATAACAACTCGATGAGAGGATTTGAAGGATGAAATATAAGGAAAACAAAAAAGTTTATGAGAACTCTCTTTGTATCTAAATGAAAGGAAAACTTTATAATATTTTTCAAGTATTCTCCTCACTTCGTTCCATATGATTTACAAATGAGATTACATCAATATTTATAGGCAAAACTTTGCAAGTTATCTTTGAATCAATGGTCAAAATTAATTTTGATCAAAATGTCCTCATCGATTGCAAGTTGCATTAACTTCCTTTGGTTAGGTGGTATTTCTTTACACTTCCATATGCAAGTTGTATATCACTTTCCAACCTTATTCTACCTCTACAATTCACATGCAAGTAGACAAATCACTTCATAGTAACCAAAATGAATTTTGCTTCCTCCTTAGCATTATCTTTACAAATGGCATGAGTGAGGCTAGTAGCACAAGTGGACAAGTGACACAAATTGTACAAGTTGGCCAAGTTGCCCACTTGTGTCCACAAAACATCCGATCGCAGTCCATTATATTTCTCCTTCTCAAAATAGTAGTTTTCGACTTAAAGAAACCTGATTTCTGAGTTGAAAAGCAGCCTGCTCCCCTAGCCTGTGTTCTGCCAAAACAGGTTGTCTGTGTCCACTACCCGAGTCTACCTATATCCCCTGCCACAAGCAATTTCCTCATGTCGAAGCGTCGTACCTACGTTGTCTTGCGACTGTTGTCGGCGCGAATAGAGGGCATAAGTCAAAGCTCTACCGTCGAGTACTTTTTCATGCTCTAAATACCATCCCATTGTCTAAAACTAAATCATCATATAAATAATTTATTTACTAATCCATACCCAAACTTTTATGGGACTTCTGAACGAAAAAGATGGTTTTCAAGTGTTCTCATTTTTCTTACATTCATATGCAATAATTTTGCATATAATTTTTTGCCAAAATATCTACATTCATAAGTTGTCGGGTTTCAGAATAGAATTTAAAACAAGAAACTACAACACCAACCCGATTTGAGGTTGCGGGTTGGCCAACCCAAATCCCTTTTCTAGCAAATAAGTTTTTAATCTATACGAGTCATGTCCTATCCAACAAAATGTACCTGAATTAGCTTCTGTTTTGCTGCAAAACAATCTTCCAGCACCAATGCTTTGTCATTTTATAACATGGTCGAGCATAAAGCAGAAGGTGCGAATAATAATCAAAAATAAATTATCACTATATTTATGATTAAGAAACTTAAATATGATAATAAACATGGGTGATTTGTCCCAAAATATCAATCCCCTCATTGAAATAAAATTAAGAAAAAAGTATAAAATTACAAAATTTAAAAAACTTCATTCACAAACTGATTCGTGAAATGTATCTTGAGTCGAATGATAAAAAAATTTCCGGGTATCAACCATCCTTTGTATGTTAAAACTTGAGCTGCAGAAATTTTTAAACCTTCTCATCAACTTCAGAAGATTCCAATAGTCCATGCTTTTGTTGGCTGCTTCTGGAAATTGAATGACTGCGTCGTTCCTTCCCCCCGGGTTTTGATGAGGCATTTCCATACAATATCATTCCAAAAATGGCAATGATCATGCCAAGAACGACATGTAAATTAAGGCCCTCTCTCCCGAAAAATAAGAATCCCAGGATCAGTACAAGGATGGTCTTCATATGACCAAGAACCTGGAATGAAACAGCAGTGAATCTGCCAATGCAGATGAACTGACTGAGGTTAGTCCCTACAGCAATAGTGCACGAAAGGATTATGAAAACCTGCAGAAGCAAAGGGAAGGAAAGTCATGAGAGATTATACATCTGAAACACTAACACTTCGTGGATAAAGCCTTCTAGAATATTAAAGGCATGAGTTGAGAAACAAGCAGATGTCGATATCAGGAAGTTTAAACGATTATACTCAATGTTCTTTTTAGGTTGTCTCTATAGAAAGAGGTGAAAGAATTTTAGGGGAAAATCAGCTGGAATATTTTTTTGAATAAAAATGGAATATGAAACACAAAGAATAACAATATAAAGATTGCATCAAAAGTTAAGCATACATCTCTGGAAGAATAATAATCAATCCAACTTAAACATAGCTACTATGAAGTTCTCCAAAGAGACAAAATAGAACTTTTTAGTATATATCTGGTAGCTCTACCATCTTTATACTTTTTCAAATTTATTTTAGACATAATTCTAATTTTTAAGCGGATGCAGCAATATAATTTGAGAGTGCAAAAATACAAGCAGCTAAGCCTTCTTTCCAATAAATTGGAGTTGGTTATATAAATTCGTCTTCGGTGCCCCCATTCAATCATTGTTGAATCTATTATCGGAAGCTCCAATGTAACCATAACAGGCACGTTTAATATTGGTCCGGTTTTCCTCTTCTAACATGATCTGTTGGGATGGCATCACTCGTGATTGGACACTTCCTTAGATTTACATAATACATACCCCCCCTCTCCCCAACCACCTAACTCGTCCTTCCCTAATCTATCCTCAATGAACACCACTCTACTTGTAGGTGTATATTTTCATTTACCATCTTATATGTTCTAGTATGGTATCACTACCGTCTTACATCTTCATTTCTAGTAGTCTTAGTTCTACTTTCCTAAAACATTTGGATCTAAAGTATGCCATCAAAGTTTTAATTTGTGATTTAATCCTCTTCCAGTCTCTTAATAAACCATGTCATAATGAATATTATATACCAAGGTACCACATCTTGGTTAAGACCCGCAAGCAGTACTATTCTCCCTAAGTAATCTAAATTCCTCTTACAAATGTGGAACGTTACAATTGATTTACCATAATAATTGGGCGAAGCATACTAGTATGGCTTATGGTTAACATGTTAAAATTTACTTGCAGCTTCAGTAGCATGGGAATTGTGGGAAGAATAATCACAACATTAGAAGTCCTGGAATTGGAGGTTGAAGAAGTCATTTTTGGAGAGGAAGTTGGCCTTAGGTAACAAGAAGTTTTGCAAGTAAATACACTTCGACTGCTTTTTAATGTACAAGAAAACGTATAGAACTTCCTCTTGTACATATAAAGAGTTGAGATTGTAGTGTTTAATCATCAAGAGTGAAGTGAGCAAAATAAATCAGTTTAAATAGAACACAGAAGCAACTTCTGTATCAATATTCATGTTTTAATCATTGTCTATATTTTGCACCCAACAAACAAAATTGTTCAGTACGAAAAAATAAATAGTCATAAAATAGAATTTCATTTATGAAAATTCAGAGAATGATACAAGAGCCGCTACTGCATTTCTCTTCACTATTCATTCTAATTACCACTTCCTTACATAGAAATCAAAGGATAGTTCTAGATGAGTTAGGGATATAACCAGTTAGTTAAAACCATACACAATTCTACACTTGTAATTTTTTCCAAAGCCAACTTCTTGATTTTCAAAGCAAATACTTCATCTTCCAAAGCCATCTTTTAATGTAGTAGTCTTCAACAATTTCCAAGCTTCTTGAGATAGAAATTTAACTTTTTAACATTTAAGACCTATAGAGCACATAAAGTGTAAGTCCTTTTATGCTCAAATGGTGAATATTGCTCATAGTTATTTGATGGCATGTCCTTTTATTATATAATGTATCTTATTCAATCACCATTCTCTAAACCACATATTATTCGTGTCTGGAATTTTCTTTTTACTTTCTTTATTATTATTATTATTTTTTTACGGGCGGTGGGGGTGGTGGGGATTAAGAGGGGTAGCAAAGAATCCATTTATTAACAAGAATCACACATCAACACATTCTGCTATACAACGTTAAAATAAGAACAAGTGACCATAACTTGCAGATACACTTACCATGGATGGTATTTTAAAGTCAAAGGCATCAATCCTTTTGTCAGTCAACCAGTAATCCAGAAAGGGACCTAACAGCAGCAGAGATCCAGCCTGGACTGGTGCAGTGTGTCCAAGCAAATTGAAGGAACTAAGTGAGTAGTTTCGTTGTAGGTAATGAACATACTGCGTATACAAACCCAAAGTTACAGAATAATCTCTAGAGCTTTCAACAGAATATTACAAAGCAAAATGCAATTGAGAACATACACGTTGTATATAACAAAATAGGACTAAATTCAGACCAAACAGAAGACACATTTCTTTCCTAGAAGTATTGAATCACAGCAGATCTTGTCAAGGTACCGAAAATTTGTTTCAATCAAATTATTGTGTGCTGGCAATAAAATATCTCATCACACTAGGTCAAAACGTTTACAGGAATGGATAACTTACATACTGTTGGAGAGAAGTGCTCCAGACTGCAATAAATGCAGCAATGAACCCTTTGGCATTAACACTCACATCAGTCACTGTGCAGACAGCAACCCCAAGGAGAACAACCACAATACCAAGTTTTGTGTCTCTTGAATATCGGATCTTGTCGAACAACACTTCTAACAAGCAGGACACAGGGATCATACTCAGTTTCGCAATCTGAATTCATATTAGAGATAATGATACCTTAGAAATCTGTAAATATTTCGGAAGAAAATGGCAAAATTGAAGGGTATAAAAATTACCTGGTAGAATCCCACTGAATTCCACATTAGACTGACATTCATCCCAACAATAGAGAAATTTGCAAATAAGACAAACTTGAGAAGCTCTGGAAGAGGTAGATGAGAAGGTTGTATGTAACCCAGACATCTAAGAACAATTGTCATCAATGTTGTGGTAGCAAAATGCAAACCAGTTAACGTTGTAGCTGCGAGGATTGTGAAAATTAAAAAGCAGTAAACCCCTCAAACTGGTTGAGGATTGGATAATTAAAAAATAATATGAATGATAGCCAAGCAAGATAAAACCATAAGGAACTTAGAAGAAGAAAACCCCTATTATCGTAATATTTACATGATCGCCAAAAATGAAACTAACAAAGATTATTGTCAGCTTGGGCAACCAATTTGATTAACTTATCATCCTATCAATATTCCACCCACACGACAAATCCCTATGATTTCAAGTCAACAAAATCATTAATGGATATTTTGCTTCACATAATAATGCCACACATTAAATTTTCTCTGGGTTCCAACAACACCTTAAAAAATCCTTTGCATGGTTACATGCCAACAAACCCTTTATGGGTTGAATTTGTGTTGCTCTATTCGGCACCTAAATGCGATGCTCCCTTTTCCTCTGCACCTTGCAGCTCCAAGCCTCCAACATTATCAATCTCATAATATGTAGAATTCTAAACTGCATTTGGCGGTATGAGGTTGCGCTCAAGAATTGAAATTATAAACAATATCATTCAAAAATATTATTCATGAATTTTAATTCTAGACATCTGCTCGTAAAACAGTCAGGAATTCTGAACTTCTAATTCTAGTGAAGTATTGCTGCATGAAATCTCCTTTTAACAATGATAATAATTCCTTTTAAGAGAGACTTTCTGCATTGCAACAGACAATTGAGTGAAAAATCAACCAGAGGCTAGGATCTGAAAACCACATTTGGTAATCCTGGTCTTCCATCAATTTTACCAGAGACAAATGGTATCAATTTTCGCTTCTTCAAGAGAGGAAGAGTTGGAACTTATTACTTCTAAGGACCACAATAATCATCGTCATATAATAAGCAGCTCATAATCAATCAAAATTAATTGAAAACATTATCTCACTTAAAGCATGTATATACAAGTAGATGAAGTAATCACAAAATATGCATATTACTGACAACACTAAGTACTATTCTAGTTTGATCATTTATGAGGAAATTAAATTTTCAACTAAAAATAACAATAAGTTCAAAGTAAATTTTCCTTCCATCGAAATATCCGATAAGAAATTTACCAAAGCTGAAGCCATAAGTAGCCATTAATGCCTTATTGACAATGATGATGCCAACTGAAGTTACTACATTAAACATCCATGCTGCTGCATCAACTGCAGCCTTCTTCTCAGCTTTGCTTGAAGGAGCCATTATCCCTTTTTATTTCTACAGGTTATATTTCACTCCTCACCACCATAAAGCTTTCCTACACTTTCGCTATCAATCCAAGATTTTGCCTCCAGGTTCCCTGCACAAGCAACATTGAGAATCAAACTTATCAGCTGGACAGTAAATTTTTCCTTCCAATAATTACAACAGTTTCACAGAAATTGAGTCCTAAAAACATTTCAACAGTAAAACTGTCAAATAAATAAGATGGCTTTGTGGGGGAGGGGGTGGTGCTATTTTTTTTGAAAAATTATACTCGAAACTTTTGATGGGATCTTTACCAATTACTAACAGCCAGAAAGTCGGAACTGTACAGCATCAGTTACTCGACAATGCATCAGTAATTATCAACGGATTAAAAAAATTTCTAGCTATGCCAGCCGCAAACTAAGGGCAAAATGATCTTCTCAATCAAATTCATCAATCTTCAAATCAATAGCACGGTAAAAGGCAAGACAGCATATAATTTCGATAAAATTGGGAAAATTTTCCATTGCCCAGAAAATCTTCAAAACTTTCCATATCAAGCGCATCAAAATTCTTCCATGTTTCATAATTCAACCACAATTTACCCTACTCCGTTATCAGATCTAAAAAATCCCAAACCTCCATAACTAAGATCTCATTTAATTTTCAAATATAATCCCACGACTCACCAAATCACAGATCTAGACACGCATGGACTTTAATTCAATTCTAGTACTTAAATTAACGTTGATAATCATTAAATACAAATACATACAAGTATTTGAAATAATAATAATTGAGGGAAAATGAGTACCTTCAGGAAGTTTTAACAAAGGTGAAAGTGATTTTTGGCGTGATTTTCAGATCCTCGCAATCTTAGCTGATTTATCTCTCTACAAGAATAAGTTTAACACGATTTCATGTGAGGGTATATACATATATTTGTACGTATACATATATATGTACATATTTGTGTAAGTATAGCACTGAGAAGGGAAGATTACAGTTACGGGAAGTTTCTTTTCTTGTTTCTTCAGCTACTATCGAATTGAGAAAATTAAAAACCAAAAATGGATTATTTGGGGTCCCCAAGGTAATGTCCAAGGTATTATTATTTTTTATTTATATTATCAAGCAAGTCCTCAACATATTATTTTGACGGTTGAGTCCACATCATTTTCTTTTGGTAATTATATTCACACAATATTTTTTTTTTAATTGTACAATATTTTAATTACAAGAAAGGTGTTCAATATTTGCTCTTCTATACTTTTATGTCCTCACCTTTTTTCTTGTCGAATTGTCATTCTTTACTTTCAATTAATTAACTTATTTGATCTTTAATCACGATTTTCATTCAAATGTTCTACTAACGTGCATTGAAATTAATATTTTGTTTAACTTTTGTATTTATTATTTATTTCACTTATTTAAAAATATGAAAGAAAAAATATATCTCTTTTGGCCCTCATAACAAATATTTTGGATGAAATCCGTTTCTATAGACAAAATGTAAAAACTAATAGAAAATTGATGATAAAAATTATTTTAAAAAAAAAAGTTGAGAACATAAGTGTAAAAATAAAGAACAATTTAGGGATATGCATCGTAATTAAAATATGGTGTAGTTAACAAAATTGTGATGTGAATAATATATTTACCTTTTCTTAGTTCTAAAAAGACAACTTTACCCTTATTCCTACTATATAAAAAGGGGAATGTGGAGACACTGTTGAAGTGAATGGTGTTTTAATTCATTTTATCTCACTGTAACATTTTTATTTTTATTTTTTTTTTTCAAGTGGGGGGAGCAAAAACGATATCGTTTGTCTTAGTATATATTTTATTATACAGTGTACCTTCAAATTTACTGTAATATGTAACTTTCCATTCTTCCCACCAAATCTCATCTCTTCACTACGTGCTCATTAAAAAAATATCAACTCAGTATATTTCTAAAATGTAGGTAGATAGTTTCAAGAAAAAAATTTGCTTCAAGTTTTTTGAAGTGTAATAAAAAAAAAATTATCATTGTAGTTAGTTATTATATTTAAAAAAATATTAGCTTTAAAAAAAAAAAATCTATCTAACTATCCGTGCACAGAGACTTTGTATCCTAGATTTTTTTTTTTTTGAAAATTTTTTTTCGATTTAAAATTCTTCTCTTCATAATAAAATTTAATTTTCCAATTTTAACTAAATAATATTTATATATTCTTTATTTTATTTTGTTTTTATTATATTTTTTTGAAAATTGTTTTAAAATTTATATTTTCGATCTAAATTTTTTTTTATTCTTTTCATTTTAAACACAATTTCTTCAATTTTAATTAAATATAATTCATTTTTACTTTTAATTATTTCAATTTAATTTAAAAACTTTATAATAACTTTTTTTGGTTTCTTTTTATTTTTGTCTGCCTACTATATAATAATAATAATAATAAGATAAAAAGAAAAAAAAGGTTATATAAATAAATTGTTGTGCTTATTTAGATATTAACTTTAAAAAAAAGGAAGAAAATATATATATATATATATATAAGTTCTTTGCCTCCGTGCACGGAGGCAATACCCTCCGCGATAGATATAAATTTTGTTTCTAGTCTTTTTTTTCCGTAAGAAAACTTAATTTTTCAATTTTAACTAGATTGTATTTATACTATTCTTTATTTAATTTTCATAACTTTCTTTTATATTGTTTTTACTATATATTTTCACAAAAATGTTTCTTCTTCTCTTTTCTCTTTTTATATCTCTTTTATTTTTATATCTGAAGTTTAATGTGTTATTGTTTTTTTTTATTACCTATTTTGTTCTTTTTGTTTGTGTATAAATTCACTTGTTTTTCTCATGCTTTCATTATTTGTGTATTGTTTTCCACGTGCAGATTTTTAATGAATTTGTTGAGTTTTGGAAGTTCCAAACTTTGAAATTTGTGGAATTGATTTTATATTAATTGTCATGGTTATATATAATGCATGTGAACGTAAAGTAGATTAGTAGAAGCAAAAGTTACAACAAGTTAAAAGTTTTATAGATGTGTCAAACTTCCAGTGCGATCTTTCTTGTTGACCATAAACATTGGGGTTTCATTGTTAATTAGCTGGAAGACGCATCTATCGCCCATTTGTAGTTGTTTTTCCGTAATAAAATCAGTCCAACCTATAGTAAGACATCTTATTACGCCACTTGGTCAAAAATTTGTAGTAATTTCCCAATTGTGATGCAGAGAATCATGGATCTGAATGTTGCGAACAAATTTCGACAAGTGCTGTCGGGCAAAACTTCCTGGTATATACTGCAGTGATGAAAAAATTTCAACTCAAAAATTATGTAGAATGGTTATATATATATATATATATATATTATTAATAAATAAAAGATACAACTTACAATTTTTCGGTGGCTGTTGAGACAAGGTGTTAGTATTATTTCAAATATGGGATTATCTGAAGTGTTTTCTTCTTGGCCTTCTTCATCAGAGTCGTATGTAACCTCTAACCCAGATTGATCAAATATAGTCATGTTTAGTGTGAAATTACTGTTATATTCGAATACTAGAACATAATCCTCCTGTAAATTATGATGGTCGAAAAATTGTTCTAATTCATCGGCTAGGTATATTTTTTCATCAACTCTTTCTAATTTGATGATGACAATTATGCCATTATATGCAGTTACTTATATTGTATCACTAAGTTGTTGCCTCCAGTCATTAATAAAAGATGTAGGAAGCATCTATATTATATATAATAAAAAAATAATAAAAACATAAGCATGTGATAAAACATATATTAAAATGTCAAAGAAGCACTAACTAGACGAATATTGTGATTCAGGAAAGGGGTGATGATTCTGAAGAAACTATGTGAAACATCCATTTTATGAGAAAATTATTGTTTGTTATGTGGAATATTTGAAGTATGGGTGAGTTGAATGGGAAAAAAAAATCTGGTGAAAAATGAAGGTATTTAAGCTAAAAAAAGTGTACTTTACATTTTAAATTAGATTTGACAATAGATTCACAGGTGATAGAATAGACAAATTTTTACTGAAAAGATTGTCTTCTTATTATTCCCAAAAACATTTTAAAAGAAAAAAGAAAAAAAACTTGGCCTCCGTGCAGCCTCCATGTAGGCTTCTGTGCACGGAGGTAACGGCCTTGCACAGAATAGCCAAGCAAAAGCAACCGGAACTTTTAGGTTGTTTCATTTCCTGGATAACAACGCAATACTTTCCACTAATCAATTATGAATTTCTTCTGGCAAACAACATGGTGCAAGAACAAGAACCGGATTATCAAATTCATGCACAAACCTCATTTAATCAAATAAAACTAACAACATCTATCTCAAATTACCTAATCTCGTCAAAAAAATTTAGATGATTTCTTGCTAATGTATACATGCTATATAACGTGAAAAAAAAAAACACACATAAACTAACTCTTCCTCCCAATTTTTGCTGCAGGTGAATGATAATTAGATTTTTCCCTATTATATTTGTTTTTATTCATTAGGCATGATTTCATTTTAACATTTTGCTAAATAAATAATTGAAATATGATGTCTATGCACACTTTGATAAATAGTTAAAGTATGGTGGCTTGTCTATGCATAGCTATAAATAGTCTATATTTTTCGGAGTTAGTATAATAATAATAATATTTTTTTATTTATTTTCCTCGTCAGTATAGTATATTTTATTAATTTTTCTGTTTTAAGTTTGAAGATTTGCATATCTTGTAGTAGACTTGCTTGTTGTCATAACTTGCTTGCTTTCATAGTGATAATGGGTAGATGGACACCTACATTTCCCCAACTCCAAATTCTTGAATCTATATTTCATCAAGGCAACAGAACTCTAAACAAATCAAAAATCGCACAGATAGTCTCTGAGTTGTTGTTACATGACCAAATTTGCGATAAGAATGTTTATAATTTGTTTAAGAATAAATGTGCTCATTCAAGAACACCGTCCACACAAACATAAAATTCTGAAATTCAGCCAATGGTTAAAAAGACAAATTGCGCAAAAGAGTTTTGGTATGATTATTTGTTGAAACATGATTTTTTGTTGATTTTTTCATTCCCTTTTTTACATAATTTTAACATGCATATTTGATATTCTGGAAGTCACTACAAGTTATGCACCAGAAAGACGAACTTGGTGTCGTGAGTTTGAAACAAGTTTGGGTTTTTTTTTTCCATTTACCTGTGTTTTTCCTTTTTTTGTTTTTGTTTTTAGAACTGTTTGTGTTATCTTTCATCAATCTTATTTTTATGTTTTTAGATTCTATTGATGATTGTATTAACTTATACAAGGATGAAAGCATTTGTCTTAAAAAAGACTCCGAAAATGAAAATGAAATATGAGAAATTCCTAATATTTTACATGATTCTAAAAGAGTTGATTCCAAATGAATAAATCTACGAGATATTTCGGCTAAACCTTATATTCTTTTATCATGTACAATTTGTAAATATTATGGTGCAAAAAAATTTCATAAAGAAAGTAATGATTTTTGTTGTTGTGATGGAAAAGTTAGATTACAGTTAAATAGTGTTCCTCCTGAATTGTTTGAGCTATTTACTTCTACTTCATGTGAAGCAGTTTCTTTTTAAAAAATCACTCGTAGTTATAACAATCATTTTGCTTTCACTTCTTTTAGTGTTAAATATGATAAAAATTTGTGTAGAAATAATAAAGTTATATATATATATATATATATATATATATATATATTTAGAGTTCAAGGACAAGTGTACCATTTTATAAATCCATTATTACCAGCTAATGGGAAACCAGCATATTTACAGTTATACTTCTTTGATACTGATAATGAAATCACTAATAGGTTAAAAAATTCTGACAGGTTATCTGAAACAACTTTGAGAAAATTGATAGATGTCTTAAAGATGAATCCATATTGTCGATTTTTTCGATCATTAAGTGAAGTTTCTGATTTTGGTTCATGTCATATTGTGCTTAGGTGTGATCCAAGTCTTGACCAAAGATTATATAATATGCCATCGTGTGAGCAGGTGGTCGTAGTATGGGTT